TCTCCTCCAACTTTTTGTGGTATTTTATTTAGCTTCTCTCTGACGTTGAGCTTTGGTTCTCATTACGGCAATAGAACACCTATTTCGGTTCACCAGTTTACTGAACAACAAGTAATCAGTTGTAAGAGTCAAACATCTGTTTCGTGACGATTGTTTTCGAACCGGACATTTCTGTTCACCTGATTTGTAATTCAATTGTGATTCATTGGAAAGACTATGAATCGAAACTGTTAGCTCACCAATTAGCCCCTACGTCTTCATTCATCTTTCATTCCGAGTTCTGAGAACAGCTCCTTTCTCAGAACTCTTAAAAACGTAAAATCTTGATTTACTCAGTCGCGGGAAGCGCTGTGGGTTTTCCCACTATGGCAGGAATACTTTTGTTCCGTTCGACCTAACACGTCTTGAGAGTACGGGTTTCCTTTTATGTATTTCCCCGTCTACCCCCTCCCTTCCTCCCTCCCCTCCTCCCTACCGACATTCGGAAAAATTGGTAGAATTATTGTGTTGGTCATTGAAGAAGCCGGGCTCTCTTCATTGTGAAAACACTAGCTATCGTGAATATATCCAGACGTCATGAACAACTCTAACCATCACTGAATTTTGCCACTTTGATATGGTGCTGCCATGCTAGACGAAGTTCCTACTTCCTATGGATTTAGCCCATTCCCTTCTTCTTCGAGTGAATTTTCCCCTTCCTGAAGTCTTTACATACAACTTCTTGCTCCTTAGCTTTGTTAAAATCAATTTACGGACATACCCTGGATTACACGCACGCCCCACCCATGTAGGTAGAACCTCGCGCAGTTTATGTGGGCTTACATAAGACTCCCGACTTGTTTGGTTTGAGTCTGTAAGGTTGTTCTCAGGTGCTTTCTTGGGTAATGACGAGTCCATGATAACCATGCCCCTTTAAAGACGGACAGGTCATTTGACACCCTGTAGGGAAAGTTCTCGCTGTTGTATCAGTGGCGATCTGGAACGGATTCAGAAGCCATCAGACATCTCGATGTAGTAAACTACGTTGCTGTCTTTGACTGCACTTTTGAGTACCTTCGAGAAGAAGGCAAGCAGTTCCCGGAATTTCTCATCGAATAGTTGACATATGAGTGCTGCAGTTATATCGAGAAAAAAACCTCGCACAGCTTGAAAGAAGAAGAGCTTTAGAGTGCAGTCAAATATGGCAGTCAACGCGACCTATACTGCAATTTCTTTGAGAGTAGTCACGGGTGATCATTCTAGAGATGAGGCCATGTTCAACCTGGCTTCAACGATTTTTTTTCGTTTGAAAATGCTGAAGAGAACACACTATCACATCTTAGCACCTAATCCCAGCCTACGGCCTTGTTTACTTATTTTTGTTTTTTTTCACCTTTTGACCAAACCGTGACCTCTCTCTTGTGATTGGAACCATTGATTTAATTGGTTCTCACGGAGTTGTCATCCAACTTTTCTCACTCAGTCTTCTATACTTATTTATTTGTTTTTTATCTTTTTACTACTGCTCGCTCCGCTCGTCTTTGAAGGCCCTAAACTGAACGGTAAAACTGGTAGAGGGACTGAATGAAAACTCAAAAAAATCTCGAGGAACGTGACTTATTCGTACTTACTACGTCCCAATTTTTAATCATTCCTAATCATTCAGTACCGTACCTGGCATTGAACAGTGTAGTAATTCATAATTATAGTTATCCTTCTAATATTCGTGGGTATTTAAATCAGCTCAAAACCTTTGTCATTACTGTAATTCTGGTTTAAGGGTAAAATTATAAATAAATTAGGCCCAATAGGAATGACTTTGAATTCACAGTGATATATTGGTCAACTGTAAGGTATTGTTTATTATTATGAGTCCCATATTATTCATTCACTACTATTATTCAAATTTCTTATTCCTCTTTGCGGCCGGCGATAGCTAGTCAATTCCGGTACTCTCAGCTATTCAAACTAAGAACCTCGTAAACATTCTCAAACGGTTGGGTCGATCTCAATTGTTGGAATTATTACTGACAGTAATAATCATAATAAGTGACTATGATGTAAAATCGCGTGTTATTTCAAAATTAGAGACAGAATACCTACATCTCTGCTCTGACTCCGCTCCTTTACTCGATTACAGCCTAGAGTTGTTGACTTTTTTCTAAATTGGTAAGTCGATATGTGTTGATTCCCGTTTTGCCGGCACTCTTATGATTTTTAGCTTCGGTTAGTAGAAGTTTTGTTGATAGTTGATAGAGATAATATTGAAATGGCTTCGAAAGTCTTATAATCATGATCTCGTAGACATAATTAGTGAATGACCAAGTTGTTTCATAAATTTTGTAGCTTCAGTACTTTTAACTTTTGAAGAAGTGTTGTCTCAATTGTTAAGTGCATCTGAAAAGCACCGAAGAGTCGCTCTCTGTGGTAGCGCTATCTCATCTTGGTGCAGCCCTATCTCGGGATGACCTTCATCATGGTCGTAAACCCTGACTTTTGAGATCGGATAAGGAGCCTTGGGTTTGTCTACGTGGGTAAAAATGGTGGGCAAATGTGTCAGTTTTTCTTCTGATTCAGGTAAAAACCAGTAAGTATGCTGTCCTTTTCGGACCAACTAGGATCGCACATATGCAACATTGTAGAACAGTCACTTTACGAGCTATGTTGACTGACTACATAATTGGCTATGTTTATTGGAAAGGTTTAGGCGACTTGTTGATATTAGCTTATACCTGCTCATAATTACTAGTACACTACCCGGCCTCGAATATAAAAAAAAAACTTTGTGTTCCGAAACTTCGAAAGAAGTTGGAATCGTGGCTTATCTTCCGAAGTAGGCTACCGAATCCTCAGGCACTTTATCTGTTTTAGCAGCAGGTGAGACTTCCACATCTCGTTAGTCTGACTCGCATGCTATTTACTTCCAACACGCTTTATATACCCTAATCCGTAAATTTAAAAGAAAGTGGATGGGTGGCGCATCCCAGAAATCGGTCTAGCGGATTCCCATAGCAATTAGTCGTTTGGGCGATGCATGAGAGTTTCACATTTTGTTTTATGTGATATGTCTGTCGCAGGCATTATAAACACATGGAATCATGACGTAGTTATTGACGATAATCTGAACATATTGCTAATCCGAAGCTCTGATTTGCTTCATTCATTTCAACCAAGCACATCCGGTATTCGTCTGTGATGTGCCTGGAAATTGCGGATTCTCCTACATTCAATAACGAAAATCGTTCATTACTCTACAAAAAGCACATAACTTCTATTTACTTGATTGCTTATTTACTAATTTATGAGCTCGCCTGAGTACATTACTATTGATACGAAGCAGCAATTTACTTGGAAGCTGCAAAGACCCCTAGATCCAGCGAAGGAGATTTTCTCTGCAGTAGTATGCAGACTTGCTTGTTTAGCTGCTTATTTACTTATAATATACGGCCGCAAAAGGGCGAAGGATCAAGTTTTTGGGCGTTTATCAAACTTGTTTGAGGGATGCGCCCCGCATTCGACTTCCATTCAGAATCGTAATGGCGTATTGAATGCGTATGTTTCCTATACAACGACTTCCGGTGGCCAGCTGATATACAAGTCAGTGCTTTTCTCCTCCCAGACGAGTCTGGTATCAATTCACCGACCCTGGGGGGATGGAAGGCTTGGTTGGCCTAGGCGGATATCGAGCCGGTACTCGAACCCTTGACTAAGCGTGTGTGGGATTGCGCCACCTGCCATTACACCACTTCCGCTCAATATAAGGCCGTAGTATGCCAAAAAGGTACATACACTACTGCACCCAATAACAAAAACTTCCTTTCCATGCATTTTCATGAAAGTATTTATTTAATTGTTTAATTATTAATTTATGCGCTCGCCTGAGTACATCACCGTTGGTATAATTTCCATAGAGTTGTAACCAAAGTTTAGATTAACCCAAGTCAGCAATAATTTCATTGCCGTCTTGATGTTACTCACTTTTTCCTGACTCAATGTCGTGACGATAGGAGTTCGTGACTACCTCGATATTAAATAACATATGATATCCGGGAAAATCGGCCCAAATGAATTTTTGTTCCGCTTTTATTGCTGTTATCGATTCAAATTTTTACCTTTATCTACTCTTGTATTCCGTCCTCTGCATGACTTTGTCACAATCTCCAAGTTCTGAGCCAATATCACTTCTTAAGTAGGCATTGAGTTTAAGCTTCTGTATTCGTCACAAATCATTTTTATCTCGAAGTACCGACTTGAAGAGAAAGACACTTTGAGAAACTGCTTGGTTCAATCCCATGGGAGTACTCCAAAGAGCTCCTCTGCATTCGCTCAGAACATTTTCCTGGCACATGTGTGGTGATTTTAAAGTCTATGTCTAAAGTACAATACTCCTCACTTTCATATTTTATTTTATTTCTCTTAATTTCCTCTTTTCTACCCACTTTCATCTTAAGTGATTCATTTCGTCCGCATCTACTTTTGAAAATACCTTTCTTGAAAATTCCCTAACGGGGACTTTCCGAGACCTTTTCAGTCCAGCTTTTATCTCATCTCCAATTTAGGAAAGTTCCCGGTCTTAACCCTGCACAGACTTGGAAGAATAGCTTAAAGTAAATTAAGGTACATTATTTATTGAATTGGACTTAAGTGAGGGAACTCCTAGAACAAAACAGAGCACGAAGATGTCTTCAAGAGATTGAGTTTTATGGGTGCTCCAAATTTTCCAATTCAGCTCTCCTGGTAATATAAACTGTCAGACTTTCCTCGAAATTCAGCAATGGACACATATCACTTCCTTTTCAGTCATCATTTTTTTGCATTCTTCCCAATTCCGTCAATATCCTTCTTTTTGTGCTCGAGACTTCAGAAACGTCTCTTCCTGACGTCATGCCTTTTCGGACATCATTTCAATTTGTTTAATAGGTTTTTGTGTATGGTTGCCATAGCATCATCGAATATTGACCTTCTGGGAAAATCTAGTCACCTAGTTGATTAAGATCGATAATTGATTGATTCTGTTTTAGATGGACAGTCAGCAGTGGATGGCATGTGCCATCCTCTCGCTTGTTATTATTGGCTGTTTTGGCAATTCACTTTCACTGCTCTTATTCAGTCGACCACATATGCGGTGCTCTTCAGTAAGTTTTTTCTCTTGTTTACTCATTGGCAGTTCTTATTTTGAAATTTTCATCAATTTCAGGTGAACGTGCTCCTATGCGCCTTGTCATTTATAGATCTTTCACTTTTATTGCTATCCATTCCCACATTTGTTATAACAAATTTGGACCTTTGGTAAGCCCTCATACTTTAAATTTTTCCAAAACCCCCTCTCCGGAATTATTTCATGAAATGCGGTTAGAACTATAATTTTTACTCGAAAGGAATCTGATCATTTGGTTGTTTCGAAGGCTTAAAGGCACAGCTCGCGTAAAAAGCTTTCCGAGACAATGAATTGTGGTGGCCAGTCGAGGTAGAGTCAGTGCCTTTATCCTCCCAGGCAAGAGTGGTACCAATAACACAACCCCGGAGGGATGAAAGGTTCAGTCAGCTGGGAGATTTAGAAGTGCGCCACTTGCCACTACACCACTTTCCCAAGAGTCATAAGTGCTCCAGAACCGGCTTGGCCGACGTACGCACCCACAAATGGCCGTGGTATGGCGGCCTTGTCGGGGCTGCATCATCCACAGTGAAGCGCTAGGATGCCGACGAATAGTACGCTCACGTGGGGGACACACAGACGATTATAGACGCATAATTTCGTTCAACCCCCTGTTTGCTATTTTTTGAAGCATTATATTTCTTGAAATCCACCGATTTCGGCTACCTTTGCCATTTTGGCACTTCTCTACACCATAATTTCCACTATATCACCTGAGCTAGCTACCTCAGAATTATCGTGTAATGAGCCTTCAAACTACTTCAGCAAATTTCTGAGCAGGACATAATTCTATAGTCTATTGATTGATTTCTAACAGTTCGGACCAAATTTTTACATTTTCTTTTTTCTCTCTTTTTTTATTTCCTTTATTGGTGAAATTGAGCTGATTACTCGATTCAGGTCATCACAACAATCTGCAGTAACGTATTTGGCATACGTCCTAAAATGGGTATATCCAGTAAATCTGACAATGCAAACATGCAGTGTCTACACAATGGTCATGATCACATTTGAACGATGGACAGCCGTTTGTCGGCCGCTCCAGGTACCAGCTTAAGACTCTATTTATCTTTATTTCATTCGATCATAAATTTAAAACAACTAGACAGCCTTGTCCACACAAGGAGAACGGCAGTCTGTGGCTTTTGTGGAAATCCTTAGTTGAAAATTGTTTTATGAGAGCAGATAGTTATTAGTGGGGTTGGAAAAATTGTCAGTCACCGTAATAGGTATTTTGGGCCGATGACTCATTGTGAGAACTGACATTAGGTCACAAAATTTTTGTAGAATCCTCGAACCTGATGTCTACTTCTGAGTCGAGGGTCGAAAAAATACAGAACATCTGTTACAAAACTTAATTGCTGCTCTTTCACTGCTTACATTATATGATTTATATTTCGTTTGATGAATGTTATTATTATTACTACTACAATTTATTATTATTATTATTATTATTATTATTATTGTTATTATTATTATTACTATTATTATTGTTGATTACTATCACTCTCATTATTTATTGTTATTACTTGATATTTGAGATTCTGAGCATGCTCACTTTATTTTAATTACTTATTTCAAGTTTGCTCAAAGTGTGGCTTAAAGGCACCTTTTACGATAAATTTAGGGTACCCTTTTTTGACGGGAATTCATAGAACTACTCTAGAATAGAGCGATAACAACGAAAAAAGCGCAAAAAACGATGAACAAAAAGAAATAGAAAGGGTCAAAAAAGAGCTGGAAAGGGGGGTTGGACGAGTTTCACATTGGAAGAACGGCGGTTAAGGGAGTGTTCGGGCGAGTGCAGGAAGGCGACGCAATGTCTGCAATAGCAGACAACACACCCAAGCAGACAACTTCGCTCCAATGCGAAAGTGATGAACGGCAATTAGATTTCGTAGNATAATTTCCATAGAGTTGTAACCAAAGTTTAGATTAACTCAGGCAAAGTCGAGCCAAGTCAGCAATAATTTCATTGCCGTCTTGATGTTAC